CCAGGTGTATGGTTATTCAGTAATATGTAATGTTATATAACTGTAATTGGATTTAACCTTTGGGAAGTTTATGAACTGATTCTGAATAATTATTTTATTGGTAGGTGCAGAATACTTACTGCTTTGGTTAAACTGTGTTTGGAATACTCATTAAAATGTTGTTCGCTTATAGCCAAACAGGACATACTACCTGATGGACCCAAGTGGGAATGCTCATAAATGGTGCAAAAAGATACATGAAGTTTGGCGGCACAGATACCACCAGAATGCTGCTAAATAGTAATGCTCATCCAAAATTTCCCAGTTTCCCTACTTGCTGCTAGAACTCCGTGTGCAGCCGATCAGAGGAATCTTTTCAACCCACCTATTACCATCTCAAGGGGAAGCATATGTCTGAAATGTTCTGTTTTGTTTTGTTTTTTTTTTTTAAAAGAAAGAAAAAAAAAAAGAAAAGCAAAAACCTAATGGAATTCAGGGTCGCTTTGCTTGCTCTTTGTGCTTCTGTTGAGGCTTCCACATGCATATCATTGCAGTGAAGATCTTGCTTTTTGTGCACTTCAGCTCAATTTCTGCTGCAGGCTAGTGGATAGACCTTGTGTTACCAGCTTCACTTAAGATGAGTTAAAATCAATCCACACGCACACATGCCAAATCATGTACCAGCCTTGCATTTTATAGGGCTGGAGTTTTCTGTGACTTTCAGATTATCATTAAACTGTATTTCATCAGGGAGCTTTTATATGCCTCTCCTAAGCACCACCTCTTTGTTTTCTCTTCCTTTCCTCACAGTCCCCCAGCTTATTGGTATATGGCATTTGTAGCCAGGTCAGTTGCACCCTTTTGTAATTCCTAATATAGTTCTGGTTGCAGGATTTATGTGGTACTTTAGTAATTATGTGAATGAGTCAGATGCATGTGTCTGGCAGACAGGCTCCAATGATACAGGTTTTGAGAGAGTAAAATGCTGAACATGGCACTGAAAGTTTTCTAAAATTGAAATGTTGGCTTCTGAAGCATATAAGATTTTAAACATTCAATTTAAATTTTAATATGAATCATATATGTATTTAATCAAGGGACAGTAAACTTACCAGCATGCTTTTAACTAATGCTAACTAAAAAATTAACTGGTTAGTATGGGGGAAAAAATGTTGCTATTGAAGTAGTAAATAGTTTTTCACCTTTTCAGGAGATGAGGGCTAGAAGCTTTCTTTCCAGGGTGTGCATGTATTGTGCATTTTAGTGGGGCCAACCTATTTACCTGGGTAGAGAAGGAAGTGTGAAAGCTTTGTACAATTGATTACTTGACTTTTTTTGTCTCATTGTGTAATGAGATGTACAAATAATACTATTTTTGGTCCTTGGCTAAATATTTAGCAACTCTGAAAAAAATTAAGCAATTGAAATATTAGATCCATAAAGTAATCTGGTTAAAAATTCAAAGGAAAATACTGATACAAAGGGGAAAATATATGGTACATAAGGCATATCTATAAAATGAAAATATTTTTCATATCGATCTCCTTTATCCTCTTCAAATTAAGGCTTTCTTGTGGTCAGACATTTCTTGTAACATTGCAAAGATACAACTTTCTATGTGCTAAAAACAACTTCCCTAATGTTATTTTCAACATGCCTGTGTTCCTGAACCTTGCAGAGAGGAATGACCTAGGTCTGGACAAAGGCATTCCTTCCCTTTTTTCAAAAGCAGTGTAAACATCACACCTATTTATTCACCTTCTACACATACAATCTCTTTGCATTTTGAGGTCTCATACTATGATGTGCTTTTCCTTCCACCAAAGAAAGAAATGTTCCACTGCAATGCTGAAAAAACTCATGGGCTACTGTTCTAGAAGCGGTATTGTAAAAGCAGTGGCTTATCAGGAGTTCTGAGAAAACAGATGAATGTTGGATATTTTGTTGTTGTACAGGGTGAAGGAGATTTATTATTGATCTCTTTTAAAAACTGTGTTATGTGGTTGAACTTGATGACAGTGAAGCTTTTCTGGTATCTTTCAGTCTGAAGAGAATGCAGTTGCCTTTTCTTTTGGAGAAACTATATTCTTGTAGTCTTCTGTTATCCCACAATGTACACAGACTTGACAAAAGTAAATCACTGGCTTACGGTGCCTGGTGTTAAGGGAGCTAAGGTGTCCTGTAAATGGCTGAGATGAGAAAGAGACAGAACACCATTCCCTTTGCACTGTGAGAATTTTCATCACATACAAGGTACACTCACTCCTTGTCACTAAAATTTGAATAGCACAGTACACCTCCTGTCTGTGCCTCTATTAATCCTGTATTTACCATTCTAACCAAGATGATGTGTATTTTAAGTTTGTAGTGCTATCCATTTGTTCTCTGACTGTCTAATTCCAGCTGTATGTTGGATCCTCTGGAGGCAACGCTACCGCTTTTGGATTTAGTCTTTGGTTTAGAGATGTAGATGTATTCCCAACTTTATACAGGAGAGTTTCGTGGTGATGGAAATTCATAGTGCTACTGCTGTTCAGTGTGACAAAACTTGGCCTCACATAAAAAGTCTGGCAAAGTTGTTCTGCTAATAGTGAATACCTTAGCTTCATTAGGAGATGGAGTGATCTTCATTGGCTTGTTCACTAGGTGGAAATCTAGGAATGCTTAAACATGTTTTCTGTAATATTTAGACTTGTAGTCATTTTGCCATAACAAAGTAATTACTCTGCTTTTTCACACCTTTAAAATCCTTTCTCAGTAGACTTCCGTCCTGCCCACCAAAAACTTTCAGCCAAAGAAATCTTGATAGCAGTAAGCTATCAAGAAAGGTGTCTGGAAGGCTGATGTCTGCATTCTAGTATTCCTTTTCTCTTTTGACAATGCTGTCATTAGAAAACTGTGAGCACCTCTTACAGGCATCCCTTCCCTTAGAACTTCAGTGTTCCAGATCAAGTCTTCCTTAGCTGCTGCTTTTTTGGGAAGGGACTAGAACTTTTCTGGGAGAGGTATTTGTCTGTCTTGGACTGTAAATGAAATCTGTGGTTTTGAAAGATGGCAAAAGAATAGAGTGAGGCAAGACAAAGTAATCATGCAGATTTAAGTATGTTTCACCAGTTTGTCCACTTAAATGTGTATTGGCAGGTGCTGCATACTATGAAGGGCTGGTTCCTCTTTTAGATGCTTATACCTGAAATGGGGTAGCTTCAGATCTTTGTCCTGAATATCACTCCTGTGGTTTATGGGAGTTTATGGAATGAAATGTACAAGGGAGATTCTTCAGAGCTGCAGATAAGCCAGTTAATTTCTCTGCTCTTTACCTGAGGTCTTCAAAGCACAAAAAAGGGTTGTTAGGCACTTGAAGACTCTTCTTCAGACTCCTCACTGCAAACCTACTGAAACCCAAATCTATTGATTGGTTCATTCCATCTTTTGCATTTTGAACAATTGCCAATCATTTATAAAGAATCTGGTCAGTAATTTTGTAATTTTGTTTTGCTTGGGCTTTGAACTTCAGGAAGGTGTTTATTGCATCTGTTTTCTGTGGGGTGGAGCTTAAGAAAGGATGAAAGGATTTTTGAATTGCAGTGTTCTATTTAGTGTCCAGCCCAGTCACAGGAAGTTTAAAACTACTTTGATAAACTGGAGAGATGAGTTTATTACTGTTGGCCTTAAAGTCCAGTTTTGAGAAGGACTTACACTAAGGAAGACTTGCTTCAGATGTGATGGTGAGGCATTGTGAGCAGACTGATATTACCTATTAAGATCTCATTTGCTAAGCACTTAGATAGTGAGCACCTCAAACTATCAGATAGTACTGTGCTCCACTTATTTTTCTCCTTCTGATGTGATTTAGTTGTGAAGTATCTGCTATATATAAGCCCGGAAAAAACTCTGTAGGTTGAAACAAAGATGTGATAATTGTAATCCATTTTCATAGTTCAAGATGTTTAATTTAATGTGCTTGATATAATTACATTTTGTGCTGGGAACTTAGGAGAATCCTGAGGATTTCCCACATGTACATTTAACAGTTTCTTTTGAATTATTTAGTAAAGTCAACACAATTACTTCATTTGGCCTGTGGACAAAACATTTGATTTCAACACCTTGCTGAGGAGAGAACTTGTGTATTAATAGTTGCCTGAAGATGCGGTCTGTGGATTGTGATCATTCTTTCTACTAGTGAATTACATGAATAGGTGTGGTATTTATACCTGAAATTTTGCTGAATGCCTGTAATATTTTATGCAAATAGTTTATTAATCAAACAGAAGTGCTCCTGCAAAGCTTCATGACACAGTCCATCAGCTGATCAAGTGAGCTTACAGACAAGTAATTCTCTGACCCAACTTGGTATGCTTTCAGTTAACACTGGTAATTTAAGAATGTTTCCTCTTTCTTAGAAGAAATATGACTTTCGTACCGTAAACAATTGGAGGGGTTCTTAAGCACCCAATAACCTGGACTGTCTGTCAGCATGGTAGCAGATGTAGATGGTTGTCATTTGACAAAGCTTCCTATGACCATGTACTAACTCTGACTGGATGTGGCAAATGTTCTAAATTGTAGCAGAACTTACAATTACTGTATCTGACAAAAGAGAAAAATAGGAACCAGGAACCATAATCAGTTTTGATAGTTGTATGCTAGCTGTTTTCAGGTTGGTGGCAGTCAGTTATGTGTGTAATATTCTCTACCTGGTTTGTAGCTGTAACTGTGATGTACAGATAAAAAAAAAAAAACAACAAAAACAAACAAAGAAAAAAAACCAAAACCCCCACAACCAAACCAAACGACAACAAAAAAAAAATCCCCAACCCCCTCAACAAGCACCACAAAAGAATCTCCCCTTCTCCAAGAACCCGTGAAAACAGAAGCAAATAATGCAATGATATAAGATACACACTTTTGTATTTTTATTCTTCTAAGGTTATTTGCTGGCTCTTGTTGGCCTCTAGTTCAGTCTGTGTTATTTAAATTCTAATATATGAATTATTTGGATTGAATTCATGTTCGGGGCCATGGTGTTGTATGTATTGATGTACAGCCTTGAATGTGAATAATTATTGTAAACTATTTTACACCTTTTTTCTGGCTTTATTATATAAATTTTCTATTGGTCGATGATTTAATCATATCTCATAATTTAATGACTGTTTATTCTCCTCTCGACAGATCTCTGTGCTGTAGATGTGTAGTTAGTGACTGGATGACGGATTTCACTTATGCTTGGTAGTCTGTAATAAAGGCATGTAGGGTCCTAGCCCGGCCTCCGCCTCTTCCTTCCGTCGCGGGGGGGGGGGCAATGAGCTCCGGCCCCGACCGCGCGCGTCTCCCGACCCGCCCC